TATCTTTAATAAACATGTATGCGTGTTGGCATATTTACCGCAATTCGAGAAGTTTGCTTTTAAGGATTCTATCATGTGCGTGTCTGACTTATCACCTGCTAAAACGAATTGAGGCAATTGGCTTAATTCCATATTCTATTCGATGCTTCTTTCTCAAAATCAAAGAATGGCCAATATTATATTACAAGTTAAACAACAGTATGAACTTTATTATCAACAAATATATAATATTGACACAAAGATGAGATGACTCTCTAAATATGATCGTTTTTTTTTTTATATAGAATTTGATATCAATAATTATACCACACGATGAGATTATTCGCCTTTGAACCATCTATTATACGTGTACCTATGATTATTAGGTTAAAAAATGAATGGATGCGAAATGAATAAACGAATAAATGAATAAAATATCTACCATTGAGCCCCATAAACAATCGTCAGTCCGACAGTCCCAATTCCCAAACTTTGTTTTCCCACGTGTGATCGTCTGGAAACCAACCAACCGACGAAAAGACCAGCGAGTGCAATATCAAACGTGGTATTTAGAATAACAGCGAGTTTATGATTTGATCTTTTATCATGATGATCATTTTCTTTATCATCATCGAGTGAACGTGATAATTTCTTTAAAGTTTTCTCTGGTTGCGTTTCTTCTGTTTTTTGTTTGTTTGTTGTTGCTGCTCGCGATCTTTCTCCAGCCTCTGTTACTGCAGCTGGGCTCGTTATTGATGTTGTTGTTATTGGCGCTTGTGGTGATGGTAATGGTGATGACGACGGTGCTCTTTTAGCTTGTTGAGATTTCTCTGGTTCTATTTTTGGCGATTCTTCTTTTGTTGGCGGTGGTTGTCGCTGAATACTATTCGCTGATACTGGTCTTAATTCTTGTTCTTCTTCAGGTCTTTCCAATGTAGCTTCATAATTTTCTGATGCTGTATTTTCATCCAATCTAGCGCTTTCGTTTCCAATTTCTTCTTCTGCATCTACGAAAGACCCATCTTCATAATTATCTCTGTTTAATGAATCGGCATCATTATCATCATTAAGTGTAATCAAAATTTGAGATGAATTAAGGCTTTGTGTTAAGGGTGAAGTTTCATTGCTTGGAACAAGAATTCCCGAAGAACTTAAGCTCGAGGAATTATCAGTCGCCAAGGCATTATCACCACCCAAACCAAGAATTTCCGAACTTAAGCTCATGGAATTAGTGGAATTAGAGGAATTATCACCACCCAAAAGTGCCGCGTCATAGTTTTCTGATGCGTCTTCTTCTATTTCCATGGGAGGACTAGAGTCTTCATTGCGTTCTTCAACTGCAGGTGTAGGCGAGATGCTCTGAGCAAATTGTGCAGACATTTTGTTCCAGTCCGTCTATTCGCCTCACATGTATATATTTATAATTTTTCGATTGTCACCTGAGTCATATATCATATATATCATATATATCATCATACAAGAGATACCGCAGATGCAGATGATGATGTCATCGTCCGTGTAAAACAATGCTAGAAAAGTCTTGCAAATCCCCAAATTCCTGATAATGAAACTTTGTTAGTGGCAATATTCACCAATTTTCAAACATAACATCATTACACTTTACCTACTGCCAACATGACTTTACCAAAGAGGATCATAAAGGTAAAAGAAAGAAAATGTAGAAAGAGAACCTCCGCTACTTAAGAAGCGAAACGCGATCTAGCAAAAGGGAGAGCGTGCTACTTTTTGGCGTGGAAAGAATGGTTATTTGATAAAATAATGTGGAATTTTGAGGCAACAGTAGAAAACATCATCAAGACACACTTTATTAATTCCTTTAATAACGTTAGGAAACAGAACGTTTGATACAAGAACCGGCGCCGGGTATTAGTGCAACACCACATGAGGATAATTTGCGTTACTTTGATGTTATTATCGCCGGGCCTAGTCAATCACCTTTTGAAGGTATGTGTGTGCAAGTGTAATCATACACGGCTATCTTATTAAATAGTTTGTCGATTGGTTATTATTTAGGTGGAGTATTCAAATTAGAACTATTTCTTCCCGATGAGTATCCAATGGCTCCGCCAAAGGTTCGATTCCTCACGAAAATATATCATCCTAATATCGATAAGCTAGGAAGAATTTGTTTGGATATTCTGAAAGGTGGGTCAAAAGTGAGGATGGGAATATTCGGGTCATTGTAATTTATTTTGGGATTGGAATGGTTGGTAATTTTTTTTATGAGCGTATAATAATCATAAGTATGTCAATTACACTACAAATATCCAGATAAATGGTCACCAGCCCTGCAAATTCGTACAGTACTCTTATCTATACAAGCCTTATTGTCCGCCCCGAATCCCGATGACCCTTTAGCAAATGACGTGGCGCAACATTGGAAAGATAACGAAAAGGCTGCGATTGCTACAGGTATTTTAGATATTATTGATGGTTTTTACGCAGGACAGAAAGAAAAATTTTAAAGAATATATTTTCATTATTTTTCTAGCTCGTGAATGGACACGTACATGATAGAATCCTTAAAAGCAAACTTCTCGAATTGCGGTAAATATGCCAACACGCATACATGTTTATTAAAGATA